CTAAAAGATTATTTATAGTTGCAATATTTACTCTAATGTGATATATAGTAAAAGGAATAATATCTAGCAAAAATTGACGAAAAGACCATTTTTGATCTATATAATAAATGGTTATACCAAGAAAAGCTTTGTGATTTATTGTTGATATCTACATATCTGCAGTCAAAGAAACCTTACTTGCAATACTATTTAATTTATTGATTATTTGGGTTCTTTGTGTATTAAAATAATTAAGAACCATATTTTTAATTTTATATCAGTTAGGAATTTGGTAATGCAAATCAAATACTTTTAATATTTCAATAAATTTTTTATTCTCGATGATACTAAATGATTGCTGATCTGATATAACCCACTTGATTAAGGTATTATCACGTTCTTTTTGTTGTTTTTTAGACCAGAGATCAACACGTGCAAATGATATCTAGGTTTGATAACTTTTGAGTTTAGGAATTTTAATTTTATGTTGACTTTCTAAATGCCTTTCTAAACTTGAATTTCCAGATTTCTCTGAAAATTTTTGATTACATTTTTTACAAATTGGAATGTTTGGTTCATTTGGATCAAATTCAAAATAGAGCCATAAAAATAAGGATCGTTTTGAAGATTTATTTAATATAGTTAGAATAGAAGAATTTATTTCAGATATTGGAGATGATTCATCATTAGAATAGTTATTAGAATAGTCATTAGAATAGTTATTAGAATAATTGTTAGAATAGTTGTTAGAATGGTTGTTAGATTCAGTATCTTTAATATTCATGATAAATATTTTGAGATTTACAAAATTATATAGTTTCGAGATTCACAAAATTATATAGTTTCAAGATTCACAAAATTATATAAACTTATCAATTTATATATATTTTTTTTTAGAATATGATAGTTATTTATAATTTTATTATTTATTCAAAATTTGTGAGACAATAAATCAGGTAAAAAATGATTCTATTCTTTCTTTTCATATTACAATATAATAACTTATTCATATTCTTTTATTATTTGAATAGAATAGAATTGGCATTGGCTATTGTTAGTGAGCAGAATTGGAGCTAGAAGATATCAATTATTTTTAGTATCAAAGAAAAATGTGAAGCATATGAGTGCAATTACTAGCTATTATCAGAATCGAGTACCATATAGATGCGAAATAACGCCTATCTGTATATTATTTCGAGTATGCCTATGTACGTTATTTCAAAATAAGAACTAAAAAAAATTTTTTTTATAGTCTGGGGTTAATGGTGCCGGTGTATTATCACACTGATTAATTAAGATTATATTGGATGCACGTTAATTCGAGGGCATGTATGGGTGTTAATTTGAGATCACATATGTTATTTTAGAGAGATTCGAATTTCAAAATAACACTCGCTGAGTATTATTTCATGTCTATACAATAAAAAGAATGGAATTTGTTAGATTCTTTTTTTTAAAAAATAGAGATCAAAAGACAAAATATTTATGAGTATGTTAAAAGTATACCTGATGGCTAATTTTATTTTCTTTAGTCTTATTTAATATCAGGTATGATACAAGAAATTTAAAAACTTCATTAAAGAGATAAGCCAAAATTATTATATTAATAATGGCTATTTATGCGAAGTTATTTTTCATAAATAAACCGTCAATTAATTTGGCTAGTTTCTAATAATTTATATACTGCTTATTTCTTGATGTATTATTTTATATTGGTTTTTTTTGATTTTCTGCATGCCTTATTTACATGCATATGTATACTTTATATATGCATATATATCATTCAAACTATGATATCTAAATGCATTATCTTATATTTGAACTTACTTGCAAATTATTATAATATGTAGAGGGATTAAAATGATTCTATCAATTATTTTTGAATTGACCCTCATCTTTAGCCAAGATTTTATAAGCCGATCCAAGTTGATTTCAGTTAATTGTTTGATAGTCTAAATCAAGAAATTTAACATGTGTGTACATAAATTAGTATGTATACGTACGTGTATAATATATACATGTATTGTACGTACATATATACTATGTATTATTTTTTTTTATATTAGAACTTTTTTAAGGACCTATAGACTTAGGTCCTAAAATCAGGACCTGGTCTTTAAAAATTAGATCCAAAGACCAGATCCTAAAGTCCCGGACCTAAGGACTTTGCCAACCCTATGGATAGTCACAATTATAAGCCTATATCAAGCCTTTTAAAAATTACATACTACTATTTAAACTAGTATTGTACGTTTTGACTATCTAAAGGCTTTTTTGATACTATCTAACATCCAAATGTCCAAGTGTCCACAAGTATCCAGAGCATATTCAAGCTTTAATAATTAATTGATGATTCACCAGTTAGCTAGTAAGAGGTCATAGTATAACGTGATGCAGTTTACTTATAGAAATTAGAGTTTTGTGAATATGGGCTGCATCATTCTAAAACTTTTTTTTCGTACTAAGTTAACCACCTTTGGGCTTCTAATTGAAGTTGTAGAGCTTGTTGAGAAAAATCTAATAGTAGTTGAATTATCAAAATCGGCCTTGTAGATCATGAGATATCTTCGAAAAACATTTCGCTAACTATATAAAATTCTCTTGGCATTACTATTGTCGAAAGAGAGAATTTTACATAGTTAGTGAAACGTTTTTGAAGATATCTTGTGATCCACAAGGCCGATTTTAACGATTTAACTACTATTAGATTCTTCTTAATGAGCTCTACAACTTCAATTAGAAGCCTAAAAATAGTTAACTTAGTACAAAAAAAAGTTTTAGAATAATGCAGCCCATATTTGCAAAACCCTAATTTCTATAAATAAACTATGTCACGTTATACTATGACCTCTCACTGGCTAACTGGTGAATCACAAATTAATAAATTTGGTTAAAAAATATATAATTATATATTTTTTTATATGCTGAATATATTTTACTTAGAAATTAATATAAGTTATCTTAATAAAATTTTGAGTAATTTTAATTTATTTAATTGTTCAAAATTGTCTAAAGTGTTCAAACTGTTCACAACTGTCCCATGACAATACTGATCTAAACTATTCTCTACACTAATTTATATACATAGTATGTCTAAACTTAAGACCTAAAAAAAAACAAAAAAAGAAGAAAAGTTTCTTTGACATTGGTACATAGAGAAGTCAGAAATTCATACTATTAGACTCAGAGCATCATTTGTCCAGATTTCCACATTTGAGGCATGTAATACAGTTATCTACATTTTTGCATCTACATGTTTGTTGTAACAGGTAATAACATAAATAATGCTGCCCAATTTGGTAAGTAAACAATATGTTAATTTTTTGAAGAGGATAAGCTAAATCACCTACTTTTTACAAAATTTTCACTGAAAAAAACAGTGGAGGCCAATAAGAATATATGAGGTTTTTCTGTAAGTTTTATAGTCATATAGTTGTATCTTTAAATTATATTATTGCAGCGAGGGCCAGTCTACTACTTGCTTCTAGAATAAACCTTCTAGTTTGGATGCCGAATATCCTAAGGAGTCTACCAATACAAGAAAGCTTGATCCCAAGAAAAACTACTTAAATTATACCTACTTCTCAATATTTCATATCTTTTAAGCTTCATTGACAGCAACCTGATTAGAGATAAGTTCAGTTTTCAGAATAAACCTTCTGATTTGGATGCCAAATATCTTGAGGAGTCCACCGAAAGTAAAGATTTAACCCCAAAAAAAACTACCCAAGTTATGCCTGCTTCTCAGTATTTCATATCTACAGGCTTTGTTGACAACTACTTACTCAAAGTCAGAACTGCAAACAGTATATTCTTGGCCCTTTCTATGGCGTTTTTCTGTAGTTTAGTTTTTTGTTGCATTGTCCAGAAGATCATTGGAAAGAGTTGATTATTTGTTATATTGTAATTTAAGACTTTTAAAAATAAAGAAGTAAATATTGTTAATCTTTTAATTAGTAATTCGCCACTTAACCAAAAAAAGCTCATAGTATAACGTGATACAGGTTATATATAGAAATTAGGGTTTTTAAAATGTGAGCTGCTTCTATCTAAAACTTTTTTTGTATTAAGTTAATCACTTTTGGGCCTCTAATTGAAGTTGTAAAGCTTGTTGAGATGAATTTAATAGTAGTTAAATTGTCAAAATCAGCTTTGTAGATCATGAAATATCTTTGAAAAATGTTTCACCGACTATATAAACTTCTCTTTCAACAATAATATTGTTGAAAAAGAAGTTTATATACAGTCAGACCTCTCTAAATACAACCTCCATAAATACAATACCTCCCTAAATACACGTTTTTGTCTTGGCTGTATGAAATCATTAGTGCTAAATGCACATTCTATATTCTGCAAATGCATGTTCATTTAAAAGATTTTTTATATTATACTAACCTTCCTAAATGCACGTAGCCAATCAGAAGGCAGTATTTAAGTTTGTTATACAAGTCTGCAGATCAAATATTAAAAGCTGCAATTTGATTAGCTTTCTCTAAATGCAAACCTCTCTAAATATATGTTTTAGGCTGGTCTATACATATTGCATTTATAGAGGTTTGACTATAATTAGCAAAATATTTTTCAAAGATATCTCATGATCTACAAAGCCGATTTTGACAATTCAATTACTATTAGATTCGTCTCAATGAGCTCTACAACTTCAATTAAAGGCCCAAAGATAATTAACTTAGTACAAAAAAAGTTTTAGATAGAAGCAGCTTATATTTCAAAAATCCTAATTTCTATATATAAACTGTATTACGTTAGGGAAGTGTCATTAATCACCTGATTTTTTTTATTTAGTAGCCTACTCCCTCCCCCGCAAGATTATAATCTGTGCTCGGTTATGCATGTTGCCAATCATTATGTAAAATTCTTTAAAGTTCATTAATGTTAAGGTTGGCGTTTCGTATAAAGTTAAAAGCTAAATGATTATATAGTAAAATCGCACAAGGAAAACTTTTTGTTAGTGCACTAAAGGTGGTTTACTATGCAGATTTTTGAGAAAA